ACAGCGGTGCCAGGGCTGACCTGGGGGTGTAGCTCGGGGCATAGCGGCCGGGTGCCCGCGAGCTGCTGTAGACAGAGAAGGCACGTCGGCTGGAATCGCTGCTCTGCGCCCGCCGCACTCCCTCCTCGAAGAGCTGCCCCACCTGTGTGTGGCACCACACTCTCAGCACCCCAAACCCCCTGCTGGGACCCCCCCCAAACCACCCAGCATCCCTCCCAAAACCTTCTGGGATCCCCAAAGATCCTCAAGGACCAGACTGAGACCTCGGGCAAACCCTCTGGACGCTTCAGGGACTTCAGCTATCCCCTACCCAGACCCTCTGGAACATCTGGAAGCTGCTGGCAACTTCCCACCAAAGGGATCTTCCCAAAGCCCTCGAGGACCTTTTGGGGACCCCTCCAGGGGCCGCCAGCCCGACCTGGACGTCGATGGCAGTGATGTCCTCCACCACGCGCTTCATGACGGCGCGGACGTTGCGGGGCTCGACGGTGCCCAGCCAGTCGCGCGTCTCGACGCTCTTGCGCAGCATCTGCGCCACGGCCGCGCCCTGCACCTGCACGTAGTGGTCCAGCAGCCGCTGCGCCGCCGCCCGCGCCTCCGCACACAGCGCCGGCCCCGGGGTCACCGCCGGGCCCGAGTCCTGGGGGCACAGCAACAGGTAGGAACGGCCCCCCCACTTCCCTTCCCAGCACCGGGCACGGGGTCGCTGCCAGCCCTGTGTGCTGCAGCAGCATCACTGCCCCTGTTGTGTTCGTGGGGCAGCGGGGGCACCCTGGGACATGCAGAACCCCCCTGGGGACATCCCGAGGTGCTCTTTTAGGGACGTTTGGGAGACACCACACAGGTCAGGACCCTCATATGTCCACAGGCAGTGCCATCCCCGGGGTCACCTCCTGGATGGATACGGGTGACGGCAGGGCACAGGGAGGGTCTTGGGGGTATCTGGAGGTACATGAAGACAAAAGGGAAGATCCCAAAACCCCCACACAGGGCACTGTCCCCACCACCATCCCCTGGGTGGGCACAGGGCCACAAGGGGCCATCTGAGGTCACACAGAGGCTATTTTGGGGCTAATCAGAGCATTTTGGGTCTACTCAGGGCTGTTTTTGGGGACAGAGACAGAAGGAAGGTGCCCATGCTGTGGTGCCTGGGGCTGGGACACAGAGGGGTGCGGAGCCAATCTGTGACATCTTGGGGATATTCAGAGTCCCCTTAGGGACACTCTGGGGCTCACCTGGGGTGGGAACTGCTCATCAGTGAGGGTGAGGATATAGCTGATGGTGGAGTTCTCGTAGTCCAGGCAGAGGCGGGCGAGGAGCAGCAGCAGGGCTGGGGGGGCAGCGGGGGCCCCCCGCTCGGCCGGGCCGTCAGCAAAGCCGCGGGCAGTGCGGCACAGCCAGCGCACGAAGGCCACCACCAGCCCCTCACGCACCGCTGCCACGCAGAACTCCCCCTGTGCCACAAATGGGGGGGTCACACTCCAACAAAGCCCCCCAAACTGCCCCACGCAGGCTCCACACCGGTCACTGAGTGACCCCTAGCCTGCCCTGTTCCAACCCCAAAATGCCCCATGCCAGCCCCAGATTGTTCCAGAGACCCCCTGACTACCTTTGGCTCCCCCGCCCTGCACCACGGCAGCCCCAAATCACCCCCCGAAGCGCCCCGTCCCGCGGTGCCCCACCTTGAAGTAGGGCAGGCTGGCAAAGGCAACGTCCCTGGCGGTGAAGAGCTGCACGTAGGCCAGCACAGCCTTGAGCTGGCCCAGCACGGAGGCGGCCAGCGTGGCCAGCAGGTCGGGCAGGCCGGGCCCCTCCTTGCCGGGGGGCCGCGGCGCTGCCAGCGCCTGGCGCACGTCGCCCAGGCAGCCCAGGAAGAAGGTCTGCAGAGCGCGCAGGTAGCGGTCAACGCGTTCGCGGGCGGCCCGGGCCACCAGCGCGGCGGCGGCAGTGGCGCCCTCGGGCAGCAGCTCCAGCAGCGCCCGCAGCCGGCGGTGGAACCGGTCCAGCGCCCGCACCAGCAGCGAGGTGTCGCCCAGGCCGCGCTCCAGCGCCAGCCGCCGCTCCAGCAGCTCGAAGTAGCGCGTGGCCAGCGCGGCAGCAAAGGGCTCCAGGCGCCCCGCGTCCCCCCCGAAGAGCGCGCGGTACGAGCCGGCCAGCTGGCACAGCGTGCCCACGAAGGCCGAGCTGCCGCGGTCCACGAAGTCCAGGATGTCGGAGGCGGGTGGCGGCGTGGTGGCCGCGCCGGAGGGGTCGGAGGCGGGCAGCTCGGCCTCCAGCGCGGCCAGCTCGGCCTCCAGGCGCGCGCCCGCCTGGCTCAGGAACTCCTCGCTCAGCTCCTCGGGAGGCTCCTCCAGCTGCAGCAGCATCTCCACGCACTCGGTGAGTTCCTTGGGGTCCAGCGTCTCCTCCCTGGGGCGGGGCAGGTGGGTGTGGGAGGTTCCGGGGTTAAGGGTGGGCACAGTGGGAAATGGGGAATAAGCGATAAAAGTCACCGGTAGGCCCCAGAGTGAACAGTAGTTGGTCAGAAAATAAAGGGGGAAAACCACTTAACAGCATCAGGAAGTTCCAACAGTAACAGAGGTTAATGAGGGACTCCCTGAAGTTCATCAGTAGGCTCCATTTCCCAGGGCTGCCATCAGTAGGCTCAGAGTGAACACCCCCAGACCCCAATTTCCTGAGGCTGCCATCAGTAGGCTCCAGAGTAAGCATCCCCAAATCCCCATTTCCCAGCAGTGCCATCAGCAGGCTCCAGAGTGAACACCCCCAGGCCCCCATTCCCAGCCCTCAGCAGGCTCCAGAGTGAACACCCCCAGGCCCCCGTTCCCAGCCCTCAGCAGGCTCCAGAGTGAACACCCCCAGGCCCCCGTTCCCAGCCCTCAGCAGGCTCCAGAGTGAACACCCCCAGGCCCCCATTCCCAGCCCTCAGCGGGCTCCAGAGTGAACACCCCCAGGCCCCCATTCCCAGCCCTCAGCGGGCTCCAGAGTGAACACCCCCAGGCCCCCATTCCCAGCCCTCAGCGGGCTCCAGAGTGAACACCCCCAGGCCCCCATTCCCAGCCCTCAGCGGGCTCCAGAGTGAACACCCCCAGGCCCCCGTTCCCAGCCCTCAGCGGGCTCCAGAGTGAACACCCCCAGGCCCCCATTCCCAGCCCTCAGCAGGCTCCCGAACGGACGTACCGGAGGCGTGCGCGGAGGCGCTGGGCCAGCTCTGCCATGATGGCGTGGCTCTCGTCCTCGATGGCGCGGAAGGAGGGCAGGTGTCGGTAGTGCCGGAGCACGGCGCGGGCGCGGCCGTAGCAGCGCAGGGCCCGCGCCGGCTCCGTGCCCGCCCAGCGCCGCAGCCGCCCCGGCACCTCCACCAGCGCCTGCAGCTTCCGCAGCAGTGCCTGCACCCCTGGGGAGACACGGGGCTCAGGGAGACGGTGCCGGGAGGGCCGGGTCTGCCCCCCAGGGCCCCCCGTCCCCCCGCCCCGTACCGGCCAGCTGGGCGCCGCGGCGGTGCCGGTCCTGCAGCGCGGCGCTGACGCGGGCGCTCGAGGCGCTGATGGCTGCCATGTTGGCCGCCAGGTCGTCCATCTCTGCTTCCATGTGCCGGAAATCCACCTTCATCTTCCGGATGGTGTCTGAGGGGGGGCAGGAGACAAGCGCTGGGTCCCTCAGCTGCCTGCCACCCCCCAGACCCTCCGGGATGAACGTACCCCAAACGCCACCCCCCAGAGTAGGCTGGGTACCGGGCTGGCTGCCAGCAGAGCGAACGCCCCCAAATCCTTGTTTCCCAGCGCTGCCCTCAGCAGGCTCCAGAGTGAACATCCCAGTATCCCAGCGCTGCCCTCAGCAGGCTCCAGTGGAGCCTCTCACCGGTGGCAGAGATGAACTTGTTGTAGTTCTCGTAGAGCAGGGTCTGCATGTCGCTGTCCAGGGCGCGGATCTCCCGCCCCAGCGCGGCCTCCCGGGCCAGGAGCTGCCCCAGGGGACACTCACTACGCACCTGGGGGGGGAAAAGAGCTGCTCAACTGCCCCACACCCGGCTGTCCCCTCTGCAGTCCCCCTAGTTACCCCCGGGAGCCCCCAAATTGTCCCCACGAGGTCCTCAACTTCCCTGCAGGGCCCTCCTGGGATCCCCAGCTGCTCCCCCGTAGTTCTGATTGCCCCCAGACCCCCTCCCCTTGCTGCTCCAGAGCACCCCAGTACCATTTTTATAGGGAGTCATACAGTGTCCTACAGGGTCCCTATAGAAGCAGACCCGTAGGATCCCCATAGAGCATCTTTTTGGGGTCCCCTCGGGGCGCTGGGGGAGTCCATCGGGGGGGTCCCCGGGTCCAAGAGGGTGTAGGGGGTTAAAGGTCACGGGGTCAAAGGTCACCTTGGTCATGAACACCTCCGGGTCGAAGTGGGGCCCGTTGATGTCCGTGGGGTCTGGGGCCGCCTCGGCTGCCTCGGCCGCGGACGGGCCGTAGTAGCGCTGGAGCGGCCCGTGGGGACGCCGCCACCCGCCGCCCCCGGTGCCTCCGGCGGCGGCCTCGGGGCTGCCCCCGGCGCCACTCCCGGTCCCGTCACCTGCAGCCACCGCCGCCATCGCTTCCGCCCCGGCCGCCGCTTCCTGCCCCTCACGTCACTTCCGGCGCGGCGGGCGTGGCGACGGGGACGCGGCCCGGACATGGCGGAACATCCGGCAAAGGCCCCGTTACCGGGACCTGCGGCGGCCCGGGGACAAAGACACGGATGGAGACACCAGCCCCCCAGAGGGTGAGCAGCCAGTGGCACCCCCACCCCTGGCCCGTGTCCCCCGCGGGCAGGCCTGGGGACACCGGAGGTAGATGCAGTCTGTCCCCAGACCTGCCCCGGTGTCCCTGTGCACCCCCATCCTCGTTTCCCCGTGACACCGGGCGCGTCACAGGGCTGTGGGACCCCCCACCTCCCCGGAGGGTTCCTCTCCAGCCCCAGGGTGGCTCAGGTAGAGCCAGGGCAATCAACCTTGTACGAGGAACAAACACTCGGACTAGAAGGTCTAAAATCAGCTTTATTTACAGCAGGAACCCCCCCCAGCTGCTCCAGCAGCCTTTTGTCAGGAGTCGCCTGCTCCAGGAATTAGAGGCCATCGATTCTTCCCAAAGGGAAGGAGCCTGGAGCTGCCACACACCAGGGAAGCAGGAAGAACCAGTCTCTGCCACCTCCCTTTCTCCTTGCTTTCCCTGCAGGATTTTTGCCAAATGTGGAAAAGAACACACCTAATCCAGCCAAGGTATGTTTTGTGAGCAGTTTGGTACAAGGGACAGCATTCCTTTTGCAGGCACCTTAGCTCCAGGACAAAGGAATTCCCGATGGGAAGAGAGAGAAGGCAAAGGGAACACCCAGCCACCCATGGTGAGGCAAAAGAGAGACTAAATCAGAGGAAGAGGAATGGCTGGGCCCCGGTTGTTACAGGGAGAGAGAGGCAAATAACCAGAGACACCCCCCAGGGCAAGGCAGGGGTTCCTCTGGTACCTTCTAAATTCATAAAACAAATCAGCAAATCCATCCTGGACTCCCACTGTGGGGGAATTCCACCTCACCTCAACCTCTGCTTCATTGGCACAGCATCTCCCCGGAGTGCTCCAAAACCAGGGTGCCACAACAACCAAAATTAACTGGACCAAGGAAGATAAAGAGGGCCAAGCCAGGATTTAATCCAAGTTCTGCTCCTCTGCAGCTCTTCCCTGCAGCGACCTGAGAGTATCCAGGCCCAGATCCATCACTAATTCCATCCCAAAGCAGCACAGGTTTCCTTTCAGCCCAGGGACACCAAGGATAAGTTCTGCAAGTCTCGGGGAAACTGAGAGCGGCCACGCGGAATGTTAAATCACTGGCACTCCCAAACCCCATAAATCAGCATCCTAAACCCTACAGCTCCCGAAGTTCAGCTGGGTGACAAAACCTCAGGGTATGAACAAGTCCCTGGATTTGTGAGCCCCACCTCAGCAGTTCCCAGGCTCGGTGAGGGAGGTGACGGGGAAGTGGCCCTTGAGAACAGCCCGCGGCACACGAACGAGGCAGGAGGTCACAGCCCCAAATCCCTGTTAGACACGGGGATCCCTTTGGAGACAAATGTTCTTGCTTTGGAAGAGCCGTCTGGGCCCAGCCGGAGCGACACGAGGAGCTGGTGGGAGGAAGAGTCACTTGGAAGGAGAAGGTCTGGCTGGAGGCTCCTCCCGGGAAGGTGTGGACAGGCCTGTGGGTGCCGTGGGTCCGGCCTGTGGTGCCTGCCCGGCTCGGGGCCCTGTGACACCTGCCCAGCCCGGCTCAGGTGCCCGCCCTGGTCACCAGGTAGTAGAGGATGAAGAAGATGAGGATGAGGGCCACGGACACGGCGCAGAGCAGCCGGCGGTTGTCCCGCCCGGAGCGCGCCATGGTGGAGAAGCGCTTCACGCTGCCCGTCAGCAGCCCCGTCACACTGAGGAAATCCGAGTCCTGTGGAGGGCAGAGACAGCCAAGGTGGAGGCATCGTAGAGTCGTGGAATATCCCGAGTTGGAGGGATTCCACAAGGGTCATCCAGTCCGACTCCTGGCCCTGCACAGGACACCTCAACAACCTGACTGCGTCCCTGAGCTCTGGCAGGTTTGTGGCTACAACCACTGCCCTGGGGAGCCTGTTTCAGTGCCCAGCCACCCTCTGGGGGAAGAAGTTTACCCTAATACCCAACCTAATACAACTCCAGCCATTCCCTCGGGTCCTAGGATCAAGCCCATCCTACTGTGCCACAGATGAAGGAATCCTTGAGGAATCTCCCACCTCCTGGCTAAAAACATTTGCACAGAAGCTGCACGGCAGCCACCTGTTTCCCTCAAGGTCCTTCCCTTCCAGTGCTCCGGGATCAGCACCGTTCCCACCTTTCTGGAGCTTCTGCTCATGTTGCTCCTGAAATGCCTCAAAACCTCTTCTGTAAGAGCAGCGCGGTTTGGTGCCCATTTAGGGCTTCTCCCTTACGGGCTCTTGCCATCCCACCTTTCATCCCAGTTCCCTGATTTGTTGGGAGTTGTGTGGCAGACCAGGACACCCAACAGCCTGTGGGACCTAGAGCATCACCTGTGCTCCCTCTGAAGACACCAGTGTCCCACAAGGCCTCACAGGGAGCCTGCTGGAGGTGCTGGAGTTCAGGAGCTGGTTCATACAGCAGCACCAAACACCAAGGGAGAGCTGAGGAACAGCCCGGAGGCAGCTTTAATCCCAGCAAGGAGGGACCTCCACTGGCATTTCCCAGGTGTGCTGTCCCACATCAGCCCTTCAGGTGCCAGATACCAACCCTGGACAGGGTGATGCTGCACCTGCCAGCTATCCAACATTTACAGAGCCAGTAAATCCGCTGGGGACGGGTTTAGTTACAATTCAGTTACAACTGCCTGGCATCCAGGACCGCAGGGATCCACCGTAGTGTGCCAGCCTGAGCTGCCATCCCGGTTTCCCAGCAGCACAGAAAGCCCTGTGCCCCATTCCCCAGGCCCTTACCATGCCATCCAGGTAGCGGTTCTGTTCCTCAGCATCCTTGTCGATATCCAGAGCCAGCTGCAGAACAAGGGAGGGAACGGGCATTCAGGAGCTTGTCACGTACGGAGAACCTCTAAAATGAAAGTTATCAACGCAACCTGCTGCTTTCCTGGCTCCTGCAGACACACAGGGGCTTGTCTGGGACAGGAACGAGGAAAATGATTCTCATTTCCCTGTAGGGTTGTTGAACTTTTCCACCTCTGCAGCACTGAAAGTAAAGCCTGACTGTCTAAATCTGTCAGGGTGTTTAATCCTTGGGATACAAGGGCAGGAATTCAGAGTCTGCCCTTCTGCACTGTGAGTCACTGACTTCTTTCGTGGTTTCTACTATTTTTTAAATAATAATTTATAATAATGTTATAATCGTCACAACAATTTTATAATAATATAACAATAATTGTTAGAATAATTATAATGCTATAACAATTTTTATAACAATAAAAAACAGAGCTTAAATCTCTAATCTCTAAATCAAAGTACTTGATATTAAGAGCAAACCAGTTTTAAGATCATTTGCACAGAGACACAGGTATTTTTCCATAATTAATCTCCTTGCCTTTTTATTGTGAATTTTTTCCCAAGCAGGTGAGCTCGGCAACACCCCTCTGTGCAGGGGTGTTTATGTTTTATATATGTTTTATGTTTCTTTTTGGATGTTTCTCTCCGAGCCTAAAACTCCTTTTCCTGAGTGTCAGATGACGTCGTAAACCCCAAAGGGAAAGCGGGAATTTGTAAAGGTGTCCTTGGCACTACACAAGTGAAAATTAAACCAACTAAGGTGATGCACAGGAAGCCTCTGCAGAGCACAGGTGAGGGTGCTGGGGCACTGGCACAGGTTGCCCAGAGAAGCTGCGGCTGCCCCATCCCTGGAAGTGTTCAAATCCAAGCTGGAGCAACCTGGGCTGGTGGAAGGTGTTCCTGCCCACGGCAAGGGGCGGGACTGGATGGGCCTTAAGGCCCCTTCCCACCCAAACCATTCCGTGGTTCTGTGATCCCCTGCAGCACCCCCAGGTAAGCAGAGCCCCTCCTTCCCCTCGGCACTCACGGATTTCAGCCTGGTGACCTTGCTGGCCAGGCTGTCGGCCATCCGCTTGTTCTCCACATCCAGCAGGTCCTCCATGGCGCTCGGACTCTGTCCTGGGGGTAAGAAGGAGGAGCACACGTTGTACCTGCCCCGGCTCGGCACACGTGTGCAGCTGCCCGAGGGATCTCCGGCTGTCACAGACCCGCCTCGCACCTCTGGAACCCTCCCAGACTGGTTGGGACAAAACCGCCCCAAACTTTCCCCAAACGGACTGGGACAGGATCCCTGACTTGCCCCCTGAATTGCCACCGTGGCCCAGCAGCAGCAGCAGCTCGGGGGCTTCGTGCCCAGCGATATCCAGGGATGAGATTTGGGTGAAGCCGGGCAAATCCAGGGCTCTTAACCCCTCATCCGTCTTGGGGTCTCCTGGCATTATGACCTGTTGTGGGGCAGTTGGGGGGTCAAGAGGGGAACTAGGGGTTCAAGGGGGCAGTTAAGGATCCCAGAAGGGCCCCGGAGGAGCAGTCAGGGATGCGGGGGGGGGGCAATTAGGGGTTCGATGGGGAGGGTAGTTAGGGATTCAAGGGGGGAAATTAGGGGTTCGAGGGGCAGCTAGGGGTTCAAAGGGTCAATTAGGGGCTCAAGGGGGCAGTTGGGGGGCTGGGGGGCAATTAGATGTTCGGAGGTGGATTTAAGAGTTCAAGGGACGGCATTTAGGGACTCAAGGGGGGCGTTTAGGGGTTCAAGGGGGGGCCACTTAGGCGATCGGGGGGGGGGCAATTAGGCGTTCGAGGGGGGCAATTCGGGGGCTCTAGGGGGTAAATCGGGGGACTGCGGGAGGTCCCGTGGGGTGCAGCGGGGTCGGGGGGCAGTTGTGCAGCCGGGCGCTCCCCTTCCCCCGGCCCCCTCCAGCCCCCAAACCTGTCCCCGTCCCCTCACCTCGGCCCCGCTCCGCCATGGCCGCCCCGGTCCGTCCCGCCCCGCCGGGCGGAGCCGCCACGAAATGTCCGCCGCTCCTTCCTCCTCCTCCTCCTCCTCCTTCCCCCCGGCACCGGGACCCTCGGGCCGCTCCCCCGGGCCGGGGAGGAAGGGTCGGCGCTGCCCCCCGAGGGATCCCGGGCCGCAGGTACGGCCGGAGCCCTGCCCGGGCACGGGGGAGAAACGGGGGCGTGGCGGAGAAAGTAAGGGTTGGGGGGGCAGAGGTAGGGGCTTGGGACAAAAATAGGGGTTTGTGGACAGAAAAAAAAGGGGGCTGGAATGTGCCCAGATGTCGGGGGAAGGAGGTGGCAGGGGGAGGAGCCAGCCAGGGGTATGGAAAAGGGGGATGTGCGCAGTGGTCCGCTGGCTCACGCCATCGCCCCAAAAGCGGAGCGGGTCCACTCCATCCCAGCCCCTTGGCAGGGGGATGCTGTGTCCCTGCCCCGGGCCAGCCCAGCCACCTGTCCCCGCGGCTTTCCGCCTTCCACAATGCGGGATTTGCCCTTGGTCCCCCCAAAACGCCCCTCTTTGGGTGCGCGGGCAGGCGGGGATACCCCGCCTGATCCCCAAAGCCCGGGGGGCTCCCGGTGCGGGGTCCCGCTCGGTTGAGTTCGGTGTGACCAGCGCGGCCTCATCGCAGAACACGGCCCGTGGCAACACGAGGGCTGAACGTGTATCCAAGCCCACCTGTGCACCCAAATCTGCCGGATTTCCCCCCATCGGGAGGCACGTCCCAGCACCGCGGGCTCGCGTGGCTCCCTGAGCCCTTAACCCGGGGCCGTGACTGAAATAATCCCATCTCCCGTGTCCCTGCGCATCTGCTCCCTGGCACCGGCGGCAGGGACATCATCTCCCGGGGGACGGCGGCTCCGGACGCGCCTTTGGGCTGTGCGTGCGGGGATCGGCCATAATCCGACCCTCCGCGGAACCCTCCTCGTCTGCTTCCCACCTCCTGGAAAGGTACCTCCGCCTGGAGCCGGAGGATGCTCTCCCGCCCGGCTGCCTCGCCGCTCCATCCCTTGTCACTCCGCGGGAATGTTGCTGGGTTTATTTGTTATTTTTCCCCCCTGTGCGGCAGCAGGAATCAGGGCAACCGGGGAGGAGGAGGAGGAGGAGGAGGAGGAGGCGGCAGGGAGCTATTTCAGGGAGCTGCTGTTATCTGCTCCGCGTTAATCCCCGGCTGGTGGGGGGAAGGCTTTCCCTGAGCGCTTTCCTGGGAGGGCACGTATTAAACATTGAAAAGCAAAGCGAGGAAGAAGAGGATTAGCGGGAGAGAGAGGAAGCTGGTGCTGGCTTTGCTCGGGTTATCCATCTGTTCCGCTTTTATGGATGCAGCAGCGTGAGCAATATCACTTGGTTGTTTTTCTTTTTTGTGTGTGTTGTGTTTTTTCCCTCCTTCCTCTCCCCACCCCTTTCTCTCTTCCCTCTCAGATATCTGTCTGCCGAGGTGCTTTTGCATCACCCTGGAAGTCCCCTCGCTCCCAGTTCCGCCGTAGCTGAGCTGTTGGGATAATGGAGCTCAGGGCTGTGGTCACCACGCTGGAAAGCGGGGAGCAGGACACGGTTCTCAAGGTGCTCCAGGTCTACAACCAGGAGGTGAGTGAGCATCAACCCCTCCCTGGTGTCAGGGGCTCTTAAAAACATTATTATCGAGATGCCAAGTAAAACCTGGCAGGGAAATAAGAGTCAGTGTAAGGACCCAGTAGGAGAAGCCCTTATGTTGAGGCAGGTTTGGGAGTGATAAAACAGGCCGGGGAGGAGCTGCAGGTGAAACGATGTCGGGATTTGCAAGTCAAAGGTGATTAGAGGTGACTGCACAGCTCTGAATATCAAAACCCGACGATTTGGAAGCAGAGTTGGGTGTGTTTCTAGCCATAAAGTGGGAAAAGATTATCTCTGGGGGTAAATTTCTGCCCGGAAAAGAGGAGACTGAGGGTAGACCTCAGCTGTTTACAGCTTCCTTCCGAGGGGCACCACTGATCTCTGCTCGCTGTGACCAGTGGCAGGACCCGAGGGAACGGCTGGAGCTGTGTCAGGGGAGGTTTAGGACAGATATTAGGAAAAAGGTTCTTCCCCCAGAGGGTGGTTGGGCACTGAACAGGCTCCCCAGGGCAGTGGTCACGGCCCCAAGGCTGCTGGAGCTCAAGGAGCATTTTGACAACACTCTCAGGCACAGGGTGGGATTGTTGGGGCTGAGCAGGGCCAGGAGTGGGACTGAGTGATCCTCGTGTGTCCCTTCCAACTGAGGAGACTCTGTGATTCCGTGAAATCCCGCTTGAAACAGACTCTGGTTGTCAGGGAAATTTCCTTCGGAGGGTTCCCCCGGGAGGGGCTGGCCCTGCGGATCGCTGTGACTCACTCTGCACCAGGCTGGAGTAGGTGGGAAACCAGCAGGGAAAACCTGAGGAATATCTTGAGAGAGGGAGCGTGGAACTGTTCGTAGCAGTCGGATTTGGAATGGGGAGATCTTGGCCGAGGAGGAGCAGACCCCTGTTGAGGACAGCGCCGAGGATTAGCAGCACCCACAAGCGGGTGCCACACCAGAGTCACCGAGGTGCAAACAGCGTCTGTGTGACCTGCTCAAGGCCCCCAGACCACAGCATTTCCCGTGGATCCCCCCCAGCTGGGTCCTTCCCGGTGTATCAGGCATATGGAACTCGAGCCAGAGGGTTTGCTGGCCCGTCTGAAGGAAATGGAGCAGTCAAAGAGGATTATGAAACTGCACATAAAGCCGGCATGGCCTGGCATCGCTTTTGCTGCAAGACTGATGGTTCTGCAACCTTTCCTGGGGATTTATTTTAATTCACTGTTGCACACACGGAGATTTTTTGGTTGCTGGGAATAAACTGCAGCTAAAGCAAAACCCCCAGGTATGGCCAAATTACCCCCAAGTGGGATTAGAGCCTGCAGGGAGGATGTGCTGGGGGAAGAACGAGCCTGGCTGCCTGCGGAACGAAGCAGTGCTGGGACTGGTAACGTGATCCAACAGCCTGTGGATGGATCAGCTCACACAGCCTGATGGGAATACACCTGTCCTGCCCCCACCCCCGGGGGCTGCTGCTGCTCCTGGGGCATCGCTGTGTCCACCTCTGCTTCCCAGCTGGACAGACCAACGCCATCCCTGGGCTCTTGGTGGCTGCACACATGTCATCGGTGTTCTATGGATTTTAAACAGTTTTGTTCTCCGTGCTCGGACCAAAGGTTTTCTTGGTGTAAACAAGGATAGCCTCATTCACTGGGAAGTGCTGCTTCTCCCCAGGAGCCTGTGGTCTCCTGCGCTCTCAGGTTCCATGGGAGCAGGTGAGACTTCCAGGTGAGCCAGGAAGGAGACTGTCAGCGAAGAACAACCAAAAGGCAGAGAGAAACAGAAATGTTTCCCGTGAATGGAGAGCGGGAGTGTTTGTTAGGAAGGGGACCTGTGGAGATCAGGCCCCTTGTGTTTAAAGAACTTGACCTGGGTAACCACAAAGATCTATTCCCACGTACCAAGGAGACAGCACTTTTTTTTGGCCGGGAAAAGGAACAAATAAATGTCAAGGGGAGATGTGTGCAGCATCAGCTTGGTGGTGTCACTGAGCTGAGGAATTACCGGCTCATAGGGGATATTGGGATTGGGATGGGTACCCACTGTGCTGCTGAAGGATTTAATCTAAATCCATCCATCGGTTGACCCGTGGCATTCTGCCAGCGCCATGGATCCAGGGGTGATGCTGTCATGGCAGGGACTGTCGGGAGAAGGTGTGTTTGCTGTTGCAGTGTGTTTTGGGACCTGCTGCTTTCCAGCAGAACGGCTCTGCCCTGGTTCCATGGAGTTTTAACCTGTTCCTTACTCTGATTTGTTTTGCCTTTTCCACAGAAGTCTCAGTGCTTCACCTTCGAGGATGAGGAGCGGGAGGAGAGGAAGGTAGGCACATGCTCCTTGCTTTTCCTCTTTGGTCGGTGTGTAAATCTGCTGCTCCATACTTGTGTCCAGCTGGGCTTGGCAGGCAGCTCCCACAGGGAAAGAAATGAGAGTTTGCCATTAACTTGGGCAGGGAATGGTGCGCTCGGAGCACCTGGCTCCGGTTTTTCCAGCAAGAGTTGGTGTTTTGGGTAAAAGTCAGCATCCATCTGGCATTAGCAGCGGTCCTGTGATCCATACAGTCCCAGCCACGGGTACACTGGGTGTGATCCCCGGGCTCCCAGGAAGGGTGAGGGGTTCCACTGGGAGCCAGCAGCGGGATTTGCCTGGAGCTGTGTGTTAGCAGATCCTTTAAGCTGGTGTGATCTGGCACTCAGAGGGAAGGAATTGCTTGTTCCTGCTCCTGCAGCTCTTCCTGCCGGGCCGGCCTCGTCCTGGCTGCTCTGCTGCAAGAACAGCTCTGGGTTTCCAGGATTATTTTCCAGCTGGCTCAGTTTTGCGGTCAGTTCACTGGTGGATGGTGCCAGTGCCCACGTTAGCACAGCAAGTGCAGACCAGGCGACCTGGGTGGAGAACAGGACCTCCTTTGGCTGAGCCAGTGCCAGCTGCTGCCACGCGGAGCGTGCCCAGGCACAGCCCGAAGTGTGGGATTGGATCTGACGAGATCCGAGCTCTTTGCTGCCGGACATGGATCCAGGCACAGTGTCCCGCTTTTGGGGTGCATGCCATGAAACATGAGTCGAGCATCACCACCAGCTCCTGGCGCTCGGGTGTCCCGATGGTTCAGCCCTGGGGTCTCTTTCCCCTGAGCCAGCCCAAGGCTTTGCTCGCTGTGTCTGGATCTGAAACTGTCTCTGCCTCCTGCGTGGAAGGAGCAGAGGAACAGCTGCGTTTCCTCACTTCCCCAGGGTGTGACCGTGGGGCACTCCAGGAGCCTCACATTAAGGACTGAAGTTCCTTTTTTCTTCCTTCCTTCCTTCAGTAGTTTCCTTTCGCCAGAGGAGGTTCAGGTTGGGCATCGGGAGGAATTTCCTCACGGAAAGGGTTGGCAGGCACTGGAAGGGGCTGCCCAGGCAGGTGGTGGAGTCCCCATCCCTGGAGGAACAACTAGATGTGGCACTCAGTGCTCTGGGCCGGGTGACAAGGTGGGGATGGGTCACAGATTGGACTCGGTGGCCTTGGAGATCTTTTCCAACCTAAATGATTATGATTAATGGCTGCAGCCTTAACGATTCTCTGATTATTCTGAAGTGTGACTGATGGGGCTGCGTTTAGCCAGTTGCAAACCTCATTTTCGGGTTCCTTTGCTCTTTTAACGTCACGGAGAGATCCGTGGTTTCAGACGTGTTGTGTCAGAGGCCTGGTGAGCTCTCACCTCACCCAGCTGTGTGTGTAGGTGTCACTGGTGTGATGTGAAGTGTTGCCACACGTGGTTGAGCCCGAGCTGCCCGTGGCTGTGAGGCCTTTCCCGTGCTCCTCCGTGACTCACCGTTCCCCACGGGGATGAGCTTTGCAGCTCCCGTGAATTGTGTTAGTGGGGCTCTGCCAGTCTGTACCCACGGAGGATCTGGGCCAGTAGGTCTCCAGGCAGCACTGGGGTTAAGGAGATGCTGCTTTATTTGAATCTCCTGAGGTCTCTTCGCCTCTGTTTCCCAGGGCATCACGTGTTCTACTCACCTCCCTTGGGTCCTGTGGCCCTCCCTTGGTGGTTCTCTGATGCCTCTCTCCACCTCTCCATCTGTTTGTGGGTGCTCTGGAGCAGGTGCCTCCCTGATCTCACACAGGAGCAGAGAACTGCTGTCAAATGCATGGTGACTCCTGAGGGAAGCCCTGAGGTGAAGGGCTGAGGGAGGTTTTTGCCCTCAGTGCAGTGGTCAGGCAAACCCTCTCAGCCTGAACCATCCTCACCAGGGCAAAGCTACAACAGTGACCTGTTTGTGCCCTCCCTTTACACCCAGTACCCTCTCCCAGCCATGTGTTACTGGTTGTTCTTGCCCAAACTGGTGCAGGACCCAATGCCAGAGCCAGGCACTTCCTGAGTGCTGCTGAGTGCACACCTGAGCAGACCCAGGTGATGCTCCCGTTGTCCAGGGCAGAGCGTGACAGGGTTGGAAAGAGCGCTGGGAATTGTCGGTATCCCAGGCATTGCTTGTTTCCAACTGCACAGAAAATGGCCCAGCTGCTGATCAAGTTCCTGGAGAGGGAGCTGCAGCCGTCCTGCCAGGTCACCTGCCTGGAGAGCATCCGCATCCTGTCCCGGGACAAGCACTGCCTCGGCCCTTTCACCACCGAGGAAGGCCTGAAGACCCTCTCCAGGCACGCCGGCATCGACTACTCGGAGGAGCTCATCCGGGAGGTCCCGGACTTGGACGTGATCCTGGAATCCCTGAAATGCCTGTGCAACATCGTGTTCAGCAGCCCGCGGGCGCAGGAGCTGACGGCCGAGGCCCGGCTGGTGGTGGGGCTGGCGCGGCGCATCAAGCTCTACAACGAGCGGAGCCTCCCTCACGACGTCAAGTTCTTCGACCTGCGCCTGCTGTTCCTGCTGACGGCCCTGAGGGTGGACATCCGGCAGCAGCTGGCCCAGGAGCTGCGGGGGGTCAGCCTGATGGCAGACACCCTGGAGCTGACGCTCGGCGTGAAGTGGTTGGACCCCTACGAAGTCGCCGCCGAGGAGGGGCTTCTCCCGCCTTTGCCTCGGCAGGAGACGGAGCGAGCCATGGAGATCCTCAAAGTGCTCTTCAACATCACCTTTGATTCCAGCAAGAGGGAAGTGGACGAGGTAAGCTCCTTGGGTCTGCGGTGCTCACCCGTCCCCGGGATCTGGTTTTGCTGCTTTTCTCCTCCCTTGCGTTTCCTCCCGTCCCAGACTGGTCCTCCTGCAGCCCCAGGTACATGTCAGGGTGGTGAGGGACTCAGGTGTGCCCCAGGCACTGCCTCTGTCCAGTGCAGTATTAACCCTTACAGCGTTTAGAGCATTCCCATTTAAAAGTTGGGGATTTTCCCTTCATGATATGATTTGCTGAGCGAGAGGGAGAACGGAGCCCCCAGATAATCCACGTCTGAGCATGGCCAGGTACCTCTTCACCTTCAGGCCAAGGTCAGAAGGAGGTGTGATGGAGAACACTTTCCCTCTGGCTAATCCATGGAGTGTTTTAGAGCCTACTTCAGCCCTTAACTCAGTGTCACAGAGAGAGTGGAAGTGTGTTGGGCAGCTGGAAGACCACGTGTTGGCCCCAAAAGGAGAACTGGGAGGCTGCTTCCCCTGGAACACCCCGCTGTGCATGATCAGGCTGTGGCTGCAGGGGCAGCAGGCTCTGGGACGTGTGGGATCCCCTTTGCTGATCAAGGTTTCCATTTTCCATTTTGGGGCCAGGAAGATGCTGCTCTGTACCGGCACTTGGGTGCCCTCCTGCGCCACTGCCTCATGATCTCGGCCGACGGCGAGGACCGGACCGAGGAGTTCCACAGGTGAGTGCTGGGAACCACCTGGGCCTCGAGCTGCCCCTGGAACAGGGCTCCCCCAGGCACATGATCCTCTTCCAGTGTCCTTTGTCAGGCTGTCCCTACAGCGACAGCCATCTCAGTGGGCAACTGGCCAGAGCAGACTTGTGCTGCTTTTGGTAAAGAGTCCGTGAGGTGGCCTTAATTAGCCTTAAGCCATGCTGAGAAATTGGCTGTGTCATGTTGCCGGGCATTATTGGTGCAGGGGTGTCAGCTTGGAGCAAGGTGACACGGTTCTGTCCCCAAGAACACTCAGTCAGGGGAAAACCAAGCAGTGCTGGTGAGGAGGAGTGACACAGCAGGACAACACAGAGACGCACCTTTGACCACCCAGGCTGGCTCTGTCAAATCCCCTGGGTTCTCAGTTGTCACTGAAGTCTCTTTAGAGTCCCCAGCACACAGTTCAGCTGCCCAAAAAGCAGTTTCAGTTATTCCCTTTCGGTGGTGTGTGGAGCCTGGGGTGCTCCAAGACAACTTGGATTGTGGGGTCCTCGCATTCCTGGAAGTTAATGACAGGCCTTTGTTTCCACAGAGCTGAAGGACTTGTGTGAGCAAAGCTCCATCACTGTGTGTTCTCTTCTCTTCCCTTTCACACATGTAGCCACACAGTCAACCTGCTGGGCAACCTGCCCCTCAAGTGTCTGGATGTGCTCCTGACCCCCAAAGTGCGACCGGGCTCGCTGGAGTACATGGGTGTCAACATGGATGCAGTCAGCATCCTCCTGGATTTCCTGGAGCGCCGCCTGGACAGGGTGAGGGCTGGGGGGGGGTCCTCACTGCTCGTTCCCACAGGTTCAGGGCACCTTTCCCTCAGCCTGGAAGAGCCCAGTGCCAGCATGCTTGGTTTGGGGTTGTAGAAAGGGCAGCTCTTGGCAGAGCTGTGGTTGATGGGACTAAACCAACATCTGTGGACAGGAAGGTGACTGTCATTGCTTTGAGGGCTGCAGGCCCTCAAAGATCAGTGAGATCAGTGGAACAATGGATGATTAGCTGGGTGATTGACATATTAGCCCTGTTTCACTCAGCAGTGAAAGCCTCTGGAGGCCTGAATTTGCATTGTTTTCAAGCTGACCGTGGTTTTCAGCCTCGGGAGTTATCCCAAAGGGACTCAAAATTTTACCGCTGCACTTTTCTGCCCCAGATGCCCTGCCCAAGGATTTCTGGCACTGCCTGTGCCACGGCGAGCTGTGTGGTGTGGGGAGGGAGGAGGTACTGAATGCCTGTGGCAGGGACCGGGAAGCTTTGTGTCCATCCATCTCCCTGACAGACCGTACTCGTGTTCTCCAGCGTGAGCCGGACAGGCTGAGCTCGGCATGACTGACGTGCTGCTCCCTTTGGGGATGTTTCTGCAGGGCCACAAGCTGAAGGAGAGCTTGACCCCTGTGCTGAACCTGCTGACGGAGAGTGCCCGTGTCCACCGCCAGACCAGGAAGTTCCTGAAGGCCAGGGTACGCTGTGCTCAGCCCGGAGGTCAGGGACGCTGCCCTGAGGGGAGAGGAGACGAGCAAACCCCTGGTTGTGGCCGCCCTCCACACACCTCCAGGTTCTCACGTGGGTGGTTGAGGCCTCTGGCACCCACAGTGTTTCTCCCACGTCCCCAGGTGCTGCCGCCGCTGCGGGACGTGCGGAACCGGCCGGAGGTGGGGAATTCCCTGCGGAACAAGCTGGTGAGGCTCATGACCCACATCGACACCGACGTCAAGCACTGCGCCGCCGAGTTCCTCTTCGTACTCTGCAAGGAGAGCGGTGAGTCCCGGGGCCTGGGGGGGCTTTGACAGGGGGCCCCTCAAGGTGGGCTTCGGGAGAGCCAGAGTGCGTTGGATGGGGTCCCTCCGTGAGGGACCTTCCCTGGGGACAGGGAAAAGGGGAGGGTTCCAGGAGCTCTGTGGGAAGGAGGTGCTGTCTCTCAGGCCAGCAGTGAGGGACAATCTGTGCTCGGGCCACCCCAGCACCCTGCAGACAGCCTGGCCCACGTTGAGCCCCCCGCCCGTGGCTGCTGTCCCCCTGTCAGTGTCCCTGGGTCTCCGTGGCCCGGCGTGACCGTGGGGCTGGAGGCAGGAGGGGAGCACAGCGTGGTCTCTGTCCTTGTCCCGGCAGTGTCCCGGTTTGTGAAGTACACGGGGTACGGGAACGCTGCGGGGCTGCTGGCGGCGCGGGGCCTCATGGCCGGTGGCCGGGAAGAGGGGGAGTACTCGGAGGATGAAGACACGGACACGGAGGAGTACAAAGAGGCAAAGCCCAAGTAAAGAAGTCTGCTCCCCCTCTAGAGCACCCGTCTTTCCACATCTTCTTCCCATTCCTGCTCTATCCCTCTCCATCTGCCTCCTGCCATCTCCCTGTCCTGCTCTTCCACATGCCCGTGGCTCCTCTCCCTCTCCAGAACCCAGTGCTGTTGCACCCAGCTGGTTTTTGGCTTCTCGTTTTCCCTTCCCTCTCTTTTGCCCTTTCCCTCTCTTTTACTCTGCAGTGGGTGGTACCTGGAGGGTGGGAGGTGTGTGGGGACAGCCCCAGGTCTGTGCCCACCCGTGTATCCTGCACTCACCAGCTTCCTTTTCAGTGTCCCTGCAGGTTAGGTTTCTTGGGATTTTCTCCATTAGCTTTTGCCTCCAGCCTTGAGGAGAGGGAGGAAGTGTCACCTGGCCTTGTGCACCCAGTTTCCAGTGGCACTGTGGCATTGGCAGGAGGGGGTGTTGCTCCTGCTGGAGAAATGGGCAGGGTTTTTAAGGATGTAGGTTGGAAGCCCCCATAGAACTGTGATGGCACTTGGGCACTAAGGGCACGAGCAGAGGTGACAGCCAGCCCTGCCGTGCCATTCCTCTGCTCCACGAGGCACAGGAGGATCCCAGACAGCCCCTTTGTCCCCCTGCTGTCCCCTCTCCCGTGCCCTGACCTCACTGTCGTCCACGCAGCATCAACCCCGTGACGGGCCGTGTGGAGGAGAAGCTTCCCAACCCCATGGAAGGGATGACAGAGGAGCAGAAGGAGCACGAAGCCATGAAGTTGGTCAATATGTTCGACAAGTTGTCCAGGTACCGGGACGTGGGTGTGTGTCCGTGTCCACACCTGCGTGTCCAGGGTTCATCTATCACAGGCCTTCCTTTGGCTGCATTCCCAAGGCCTCAAGGGACTTAGGAGAGGGAGTGGTGGGGATACCTGGAGAAACTCTTCCCTCAGCTTTGGCACGATGGGACACTGCGAAATTCCTTGCTGTGCCTGCGCTGTTCCCAAACGCCTGCTTGCCATGTTTGTCCAGGAACTCAGGAAGGACAGCGGTCTCGGTCCTGGCCAGGCTGCTCAGGAGGAAGCAGCATTTTGGGGACAGACAGCAGCCAGTGCCAGCAGCCCCTTTCTCTGCTGGAAAGCTTTCTCCAGTCATCCCTCATCCATCTTTCACAGGTGCTCCAGAGGAGCCCAGTGAGTTCAGGAAGGGAGGGAAGTAACACGTGTACTCCCATCATGTGTTAGAGGGAAAGGAACACAGACAGTTTTCCTGTGGGAATCCTGAACCACACAGAACAGGACTCTAGAAATGAGCCTGTTCCAGGGAACCTGAGCATGGGAATGGTATTGTTTGTGGATTGTGCTTCCAGCCATTGCCTCACCACGCTGGAGGTTTTAGGGCTGGGACTGTCCCCATTTCTCAGAAGGGATCCTTAGTGGTGCCTGGGGTATTCCGGGCCACTTCCACAAGCCCTGCATTCCTGCTGTATTCCTGGTCTGTTCCTCTGCTCTCCAACAGCTCTGCCTTACCTTTCCCGGCTGCAGGGAGAAGGTGATCCAGCCCATGGGCATCACTCCGAGCGGAAACCTGGCGCCCATGGACAACGCCATCCGCAGCATGGCCGACGAGCGCTCGTCGTCCGACTCGGACCTGGGGCTGGACTGACCCGGCTCCCGCCCCAGCCACGGAGAGCTGGGCTCCAGCCACTCTCCCTCGGGAACTGGTGCTGCACCCAGAGGCTGGCACTGGGCCAGGACTCTCCCTGCAGGATCCGTATCCAGCCTGGATCCCTCACAGCCCACCACACGGACCACCTGCCTCCTTCCCAGCTCCATAGCCACCTCTCCTTCCAGAGGTCTCCGTGGCCTGGCTCCACCTTGATCTCTCCTGTCGGCAGCCTTCAGGATTTCACACTCCAAATCGCTTCCGGGACTTTCCAGTAGGATTTTTTCATTTAAATGCGTGCTGTTTGGGAAGAAGGGTCAGGGAGAGGCTCTTGCTGCCGCTCCACCAGGGTCCGTCGATCCACGGAGCCTCCTGCGTGTGCCCGGCCCCACAGTGGGGGGCTGCTCCCTGGGAATGCTGTGGGAACGGGGGGGTTTACTGGAGAGGGGTGTGGGCCAC